GGGGGGGGGGGGGGGGGGGGGGGGAGCACTAGCCGCCACCTCTCGCATCCTTCCTTGGCATCCCGGTGGCTCTCCGCCGAAATATTCCCTAGCTGCAAGACCCGCCCATCACCCATCACACACACGAATGCCTCCACGTTGATCCAAGAGCCGCGCCGAGGAGGGGCATGGGTCTAGAGTGCGGGTAGAGGGAAGGTAGGTGTACGAGAGAGCAGCGGGAAAATGGCGAGGCGCACAAAATAGGAGATCACGTAGTCAGAGAGAGCAATGGACGATGTGCGCGGTTAGGCTACGGGTGCGTATGGGACGAGATGGGGTACCGGCGGGACGGGCGTTCGCATGACTCGCGGATATCGGATTCAAACGAGACTATCTGCACCACTCTCGCAAGGCTGATGGGCATGGCACATACATGCGAGAGTGTCTCGAGGTGAAAAAGCACCGGCGGGATTTGTTCCGTATGGAGCAATGGAAGACGCGCATATCGTGTAATCTTATGCACGTACACACGTGCAATACCCACGCGTATTAAGTCGAACCTTCCGCACCATACGGGTACTGAGGTAGTGAGGATGCGTAAGTGTAATGCATGGCGCATGAAATCTAAACCACGCGCAATTAGAATCTCACCTACTTTGGACACACACAAAGGTCTCTTGCCCGTGAAGAAAAGTCTCTGAGCTGATCAACAGACGGATCTAGCAAAATCCAAGCGCATGACACAGCAGTGCCGAAAAATGGCACGGGTGAAGAGTGTGTGGGTGCTTTATATCACTGGCCTGTCACGGGAGAGCACAAATGAGAGGGCGCGGGGAGATTATGGAGCGAAAGGTCGCAAGCACTGGATAAACACGGAAAGGGGCGCGGGCACGCTACCGCTGGCCACATGATTGAATGTTGTGCAAAACTTGAGGGGCGTTTGTGAGACGAAAGGAAGCTTTGTTTCGGGCAGGCGTAAAAGGGGGTGGGATGAGAAGATATAGAAGCAAAAAGGGGCACCCGCGCGACTGGGGTTAGTGCAAAACAAGGTCTGTCTGCACTCTTCAAATGATTTTGAGCATATTTCGGCCAACCATGCCTGCGAGAGATCCTCAAAGTGGCAAAAAGTAAGCGGGTTTAGGTTCATTTTTGAAAAGAAAGACCATGAGGAGGAGGCGAGGGGAGTCAGCCTTACGTACGGCCGACAAGAATGCCTTTATCCCTCTGGTCTCTCCGGCCTCTCTGTCTCTGTAGCCTGACCAATACAAGTCCGCAGCGTTGAAAACCACACACACAAACACAGTTCGTCAAAGCCCGCGACAGGCGTAATCAAGAAACATGATCATCTCACTTCGGTAAACGGAGGAATGCAAGACTGACCCGAGACATAATATGCAAGGCGAGACTGCTTTCGCGGCACGTTTTTGAACTCTTCCGAAATGTGTCAGTGTCACGGACAAGCGTAGGAAAAGCATATTTACCTACCAGACCAAGACCTTGACAAGCATTTTCGGCACGCAGGACACAACTAGTTACCGTTGCTGAAAGTACTATTACAGCTGATGCTGATGCGAGAGCGATGGGAGCAGAAAAAACAAACCAAGCTCAAGGCATTTGGTCGCCCCCAACTCCGCAAAAAGTAGAAAGTTTTACGAGGTGCTTTTTCGACAAAGAGATGTTTCGGAGAAAAGAACGACCACAGCCGCGGCACAAGATAGATCCCCGGAGATCCAAACGCGCTACTTAGCCGCACCTAAAACAGGGCACGCGTGAAGAGTACGGAGAGTCGCGCGTGGCGTGCTTCTTCCAAACCTGTGTAGGAAGAGTGTGAGTACAAGCGGCGGAAAAGGGTCGGAAACTGGTTTTAAAGGAAAAATTACTATCTCCCAAAGCCAGGAAAATCAAACAGCGATCCGCAAACATCGCACAAACAAAGTTTGTAAGACCCCGCGACAGGGGCGATCATGCAACGGTCAGCAGCACAACTAGGACGATGGTAATGATCGCTTTTGAGGACATGTGTTTATCATTCAGTATTTTACCTCAAATGAAAAGCAAACCGGAGCCGCCCTGTGTGTGCGAGACAACGCTTGACATCAGCAAGCACGCACAGCACTCCACCCACTCTCTCTGCGCAAACTCAGGCAAATAAGATTTCTTCTACGAAAAGCACCAGAATTTGCGCCAGAAAAAATGTTTTTCGCACACAAAAAGCCGATAGGTTCAGCCGGGCGTCAGAAACCAACCCGATTTCAGAACCCGATGGTAGCCAACATGACTCGTACACACCACTTTCATCGCTACAATTAGCAGCTGTAGTAGCATCACCAAGGCTCAGACTGCGAGAGATTGATAGCTTGTTGTCCCGAGCACACGAACGACGGCGGTTGAGTCATGCCTCGATAGCTGAAGTTCTTCCATTTCCGCTACAGCCTGCACGGTGCGATGTTCACCTCGACCGTAGCCCAGCAAGATAGCGTCAATATCACAAGCCAAAAGTCAAATCGACGCGACGATGGTCGCGTTGCCGGCTCGTGGATCGGGGAAGCGAAGACGCGAAGACACACATGCGTCTGAGACGAAAAACTTTTCGCGTCTTCTATCTGGGACGAATGTGTGTATATTTCATCCTAGAAAGGAAACTTACCGCCTGTACATCAGGAAAAAAACTACACTTCGTCGCCACCGTTCGGCATCACCCCCGTGCGTCTAGAGGAGCAAAACTAATTTATGATGCTAGCATATGTGGCGGTGCATCACAGGAAGCTCAGGGTGCAGGCCGACCCATCGTGCTTTGACTTGAGCACCGTGTTGGAACCTGTCCGCACGGAGTACCCGAATCTTATCTACCTAGGAATATGGTTTCATGACGGCTCCGTGTACGTGTACGTACAAAGCGCGGAGCGCATGTCCGACATCAAGCTTACCAGCGCATTGAAGGATCACATGGTCATAACCAACATCGCCCCGTACTCTATACCCTTGCTGGGCAGCTGCAATAGGAGTGGCGATCCAAGGCTGTTCGTGCAAACAAGAGCATTGTCGTCAAAGCCGACACTACCGCTGTATTCGTGCACCCTCTGGGCAAGGGTCACTTCAACACATCACCAGCGAGTTCATCGCGGACTTGCTGAACACCCTTCATGGAGTCGATGTCTTCTACAAATTCGGGATAAAGCTGTACGTGTTGGAGCAAAACGTGAACTTCCGGGCACGCAAAGGGGACAAGAGAGTCAGGTTGTGTCGTTGCCGCAATCACCTTCCCAAAGGAAGAGGCATACGACGACATCTTGCAAATCCTTGTTGACAAGACCCAGGAAGCCGTACGCATGTTCAGCGGGGTACTCCCGTCTTGCCACATCGATCATTTCGAGAAGCCCGCAGAGAGTATCCTTGACTCCAAGGACTCCCTCGTTCCCGAGCAGAGGAAGCTGTATGAGAGAATGAGGAACAAGGTGCTGAACAACATCGCTGTGAACGTGACCGACAACTTGAGTCGGCTGAGTAACTGAAGCGGCAAGAAACGCAAGCTCGTCCACACCGCGCCGCCCGCCAAGCCCGCTTGATGTACCAGTCAGTCACCGATCGCTACCCTCCGCTGATGGCAGATATTACCAAGACATACCGGGGCGACATCTTTTTGGTCTGCCCGTACAAGGGAATTTGTGGTTGATCATGTATTGCTCGGCACCATGCTCGCCTTCAAATCACGTGCTCAAACTTTCTTGTAGCAACGCACGGGGCACAGTCATCATCACGCACACACCAGTGACTTGCACAGAGGTGTTTTTCCTTCTGGATAGAGCTCGAGCAGCTGGCTGCGGCACAATAGGCACTGTTTCCTCGCCATGAGCACGACGGAAACTAAAATAAAATCATTTAAATGTTTCAATGTATTCCACAGCTCGCCGGCCATACACTCTACCCTCCTCGCGCAACACGAGATGAATGCATGCAAGCAGGCACTCCAAATCACCTTAACACCAACAGCACACCGCTAGTCGCGCCATATGGTCGCCCCCTTTTCAGCAAACAACTACGCAACAGCAGTCAGGGAGCGCCGGCGTGGTCCTCAAGGCGACACGCGGCCAGCTTGCATGGAATATCCCTCAGCTTCCTCTCGCGCTTGGCCCGGCTAAGAGTATGCGGCGGCGGCGCGGACAATCTGTGCCACCTTCGCATCGGCTGCGTGGAAGGCGAGCGCCAGTTCCTCCACATTTGGTGGACAACGGGAGCCGGGCCGCTAGTGCTAGTTTCCCATCCTGGGATCTTGGTTTCTAATGTTGTGAAGAGCAACGTATGCTTTGTGGAATCGCACGTTCCGATAGAGAAAAGCGTGCGCCAGCACCCGCGCACAAAACAAGAACGTCCTTCCACTCGCTGTCAGTGAGACGTGTTGAATACACAGGCGGGCAACCTGTGCCACCTCCGCATCGGCTGCGTGGAAGGCGGGCGCCGGTTGCCCCAATTGTGTGTCTGCGTCGCTGTCGGAGATGTCATGGGCGACGGGAGGGGTTCGATTTCGGTGACCGACCCGTTGCTGCTCCCATCATCCGATAGCGATATTGTGTGCCATCCTGAATCAATGGGGCTGAGTTTGATTTGTATAGGAAGTCGTGTGTTAAGATCCTCCGACACGTAGTGTGTGGCTTTTCGCTGTTGAATGTCTTCTGTTGCATAGAGACAAGGGTGTAACTGCCACACCATTGTAGAGGCGGAATCAGTGTTGTTTCCCAAACCCACACATTGACCATTCCATTAGGGAAAAGAGCGCGCAGAACACACGCACCTACAATGAAATGTTTTCCGCTTTGCCGCCAAGACTGCAACTTGGGCGGGAATTTAATTTTGGCAATGATAGTGTATGCTCGTGTAAACACGTGAAAATCTCCCGACACATGTGCTTCCTTGTGAGCCGGAACTACGGGGCCGACGAAACAAGCCATATCAATCTGCCCATATATTCAGCGTACTTTAAACTTAAATTATGTGTTCAACACACGGATTCCACACACACCGCCAGTCACGATAGATGGAGATGAGAGAGGGATGCAAGTTCCAATCCAGGAACAATACACATGACCGAGTGATTCCAGGAGAACTCGTGTGTTTGAACGAGACAGCACGTGTGTGGCGTTATGTGGTGTGGCACACCTGTAGGAGCACATGTAGTACGATGCATCAGCAGCAGAAAAGGCGAGACCCCTTTCCCCGTCTTCATGACAAACCGAAAAGCCTTGTTTCTGTTTTTCTGGATTTAATCTTTTTCTCACCCTAAGTTTCTGTGGCCCACGTAGGTCGGGGGCAGTTGCCGCCACCTCTCGCATCCAATCCTTGGCATCCCGGAGGCTCTCCGTCCATATATCCCCAAGCTGCAAGGCCCGCCTATCTCACACGCACGCATTCGCATCTACGTAGATTCCAAGAGCTGCGCCGAAGAGGTGCACGGGTCTAGAGTGCGGGTAGAGAGAGATCGCGGGAAAATTGCGAGGCGCACAAAACAGGGGAATTCACAGGCAAAGAAAACAAAGGACGATGTGCGCGTTTAGGATACGTGAGGGGGTGCGTATGGGACGCGATGAGATGCCGGCGGGGGCGGGGGCGTTCGCATCACTTGAGAATACCGAGGCAAAACGAGACTATCTACACACTGTTCGCATGGTTTCTGGGCATATTGCACCGCCGGCAGGATTTATTTGTTCTGTTCTTGTTCTGTATGGAGGCAAGGCAAGACACATATATCATTTGATCTGATGCACGCACACACGTGCAACACCCACTTGCATCAAGCCGACGCTTACCGCACCATACGGGTACTGAGGTAGTGAGAACGCGTAAGGTGCTACATAAGTGACGCATGAAATCTAAACCACGTGCAACTGGAACCTCACCTACTTTGGACACACACACAGGCCTCCTGCCCGTGAAGAAATGCCTCTGCGCTGATCAACAGGTGGATCCAGCAAAATCCAAGCGCTTAGGCACAGCATTGCCGAGAAAGGGCACGGGTGAAAAGCGCGTAGGGTGCACAATATCACTGGCCTGTGATGGGGGAGCACAAGTGAAAAAACGACTATGGGGCGGACGGGCGCAAGCACTGGATAAACATGGAAAGGGGCGCGGTTACGCTACAGCTGGCCACATGATTGAATCTTGTGCAAATTTAACTGGCGTTTGTGGGACGAAGGGAAGCTTTGTTCCGGGTAGGTGTGATCGGGTAGGGACGAGGTGAGATACCAGGAAAACGGGACGCCCGCGCGACTGGTGTTAGGGCAAAACGAGATTATCTTCACTCTTCAGAGGGTTTTGACCACATCTCGGTGAACCATGCCTACGAGAGATTCTCGAGGTGGCAGAAAGTGAGCGGGTTTTGTTTCGAACTTTGAATGGTAAGACAGTGACACAATTCGTTTAATATGATGCAACCAGGCGACGGCGATAGGATCGAGAAACGCAGTACGCTTCCTCTTCGCCTACTCTCTCGTTGATTGATATAAACATCTCTCTCTCTCTGTGTTCTCTTGAAAAAAACACAGTAGACACACCGCAAAGCACTTGCTCACCAGTTGTCACCACTCAGCAGGAAATCCCGTGCCGCCGCTTGCGCCTCCCGACTCTCACCCGCTATGCTTCTCACTGACACTGGTCCCTCGTTTCCCCTCCGCCGATCGGCAGCAGACGAATCCCATCATCCAAGCTCGTGAATCACCTGCGCAGAAAAGGAAGGTGATGGGTGTAGGTAGTTGCGCGTGGCCTGCTTTCGGACTACCTGTATGCGAGAGAGTGTGAGGAGGTAAGGGGAGTTGGCCTCACGTACAGCCAACAAGAAAGTATTTGCCCGTCTGATCTCTCTGGTCTCTCTCTCGTATAGCCCGACAAATACAGTTCGTAAAACCCCGCGACAGGCATGATCAAGAACGATGCCACTTGAGTATCAAGTGTCGTTGGTCTTCTTTTTCTCTGCCCTTCAGCCACACGCATGGTCCAAAAAATAAAGAGGGGAGGGCTCTCACCGTTTTCGGCAGATCCAGCCGTCCGACTAGCAGCAACAACAACGAGAGGGTACGGGCGCTGTCGGTGGCGCGTGTCTTCTGGGCCACCGAAGAAAAGACAACGAGAGAAACGTGAGGCAGAGGTTCGTCAATGAGAGCAGGAACATACATGCTAAAACGCATGACAATAAAAGCGATGGTGCATGAAGTATTAGCCCAATAACAGGCCTTAAAGCAAGATTGAAAGAGGCGAGGAGCACGCAAAAGGGACGCGAAGAGCAAGCTACGCTTTGCCACACTTGGGGTGTTCTATTTTGTCTCGCCGCTCTCTGGGTTGGGAATAGTCGGCCTCAGAGAAAGTTCGGTGGATATAACAAGCAACCTTTGGAATGGTCATATCCTCACGGCAAACGGAGAGAACCCCATGTTCTTTGGCTGCAACAGTACTCAGAAAATTTGCAGAACGATTCGAACTGCTTTCGAGGAACATTCATTCATACATACATGCAAAACTTACAAATGTGACGGTCAAGAGTAGGGAAAGCGCATTTGCCTACCAGATCAAGACGTTAACAAGCATTTTGACAGTGATAGCGCGCGTACAATCTTCCATCCAGCGTCAGCATTGCTGTTACTTGCAAAAACGCGTGTGAACGCTGACACTGGGCAATTTCGGCAGAAGAACACAACTAGTAATGCCGTTGCTGCAAGTACTAGTACTGCTGATGCGAACGCGAGAGCGGTGGGAGCAGAAAAAACAATCCAAGCTCGGGGCATTTGGTTGCCCCCAACTCAGCAAAGGGTAGAAAGCTTTCCGAGGACAACACAAGGCCAGTTGTTATGAAGGTGCGTATCGTGCCACATGCGTGACACGACAAAAAATGAAGCAACGAAATTCGAACCTCCCCTGCGGTGCTTTTACCACAAGAGATGCTTCGGCGAAAAGAAGGACCACCGCCGCGGCACAAGATAGATCCTCCGAGGATCCAAACGCGCAACCTAGCCGCACCATAAACAGGGCACGCGTGAAGAGTACGGGTAGTCGCGCGTGGCGTGCTTCGTCAAAACCTGTGCAGGAAGGGTGTGCGCACAAGCGCAGGGATAGGGCCGGAAACTGGTCTCACAGACAAAGAACTATCTTCTCTCCCAAAGCCAGGAAAATGAAACAGCAATCCAACAACAACGCACGCACACATTTCGTAAGACACCGCGACATGGGCGATCATTGCCCAAGGCGATGGATTTCTGTCGGCGCGATTGATCTTTTTCTCCCCTCTCAAACGATACACGGTTGACAAACATTAATGCAAGTGCGTAACGACCTCAACGGATTCAACCGTTGATCAGCAGCAACTACAATAATACTGCCCGCTCTCCGTGGCGCGTGTCCCGTGAGTCACGTGAACACAGAGACCAAAGAGAAAGAGGGAGGGAAGGAGGGAGAGCAGTGTTCATACAACAGGTGGTGGCGGGGGTAGCCGTAGCAGTAATGACGACTCCGACAATAATTCAGACCAGAGCACGGTACCGGAAACCACAGGAACCAAGCGATGCGCTCCGGATTTTAAACCTTCCCCGCCGTCTTCGGATTATTAGCACGTAACTTTTGGTTTGGCACGAAACGCACCCCAGCCTCATTCTAAGCCATGGCCTCTTCTCGCGCCAACAAGCGCGTGAAAGTTTCGTCGTCAGCTAAAGAATCCGTGACGACGCTCGACAAGACGGCATTCGATGAGAAGGACGTGGCCCGGTGCCCGCTGCCCGGTCACGATCGACAACGTCTTCAGCGCGCCGACGCCCACGCAGGTCAAGGTGTTCTACGAGTCTAGCAGCAGCAAAGGAAAACCTTTTGATCACTTACCCAAAGGCGAAGAGCTTGCCTGGACCGAGTCTTTCCACGACAAGACGTTGATGGGATTTATTGTGTACGCCCAGCTTCTTCCCAAGCTGTTACAGAACAGAATCAAGCTCAATGCCGCAACGTACCACTGGGCGCATCTGGACAACTCCAAGGAAAAGGGGAGTACCAAACTCGAACAACGTCGCCGCGCCGTAGACAGGCTCAAGAGAAATGGCTCCACGCGCTCGGTCTTCATGAGACTTCCGTACAGGGTGGACACTTCGGCAAACATACTGGCCTTCATGAAGCTGGACGTGGAGGAAGAGGACGAGAGGTTCAGATTTTTTACCAAGCGCGAGTTCTCCATGATTTTTTCGAAGCGGGGACAAGTCAGCAGTTCGTCTGTGTATGCCTCGTGCTCCATGGCACTGTCCCTACTCTGGTTTGCAACGGCGGCTTTGGCCCGGCCCTGCTGCCTCGAGTCTATCATCCTTCCACTCTCCGTCACGGAAAGGCGAGCGATGGAGCAGAGATTCAAGTGCCCGCCGCAATTTTTCGACGGGCCCATCCAAAGCTTTCAAACCAACTGGAAAGACGTGTTCGCCGCCATCGACACGCATCATCGGAACATCAACTACACGATGCTCGAGAAAGCTTGCGAACACAAGTACATTAAGGGTGTGCACATTGCCGATGTCTATGCCGTGTTTTGAGCAACCATGACGGTCCCAGATGACATGAACAGCATCGCGGCGTTGGTGCGATCCTACAACCAACATGCGAAGCACGGGGTCGATCCGGGGCTGTAGTCGGCGTCATTGATGTCATCAGGGACAAATCGGTCGAAGCCATTGGTAAAATCGACGGCGGGGTGCTAGGCAGCATCGTTTCTGCCCACGGACAGAGGGCGTGCCTCAAGGTCCAAGCGGAGTGCAGCAGGCTGGAAGGAGGGTCGTCTCTGTTTGACGACAGTGTCAGCAACAAGCTAAATGAGATTTTGGCACACTTCGATTGCGAGCTGTGGAAGGCACGAAAGAAGGACAAGGTGGAGCGGGTAGTTGCTGCCAAAATGGACCCCGCCGGCATGAACAAAAAGATCGAGGGAGGGAAGATCCTCGACCCCACAGACCCGAAATCGATCGATCGCATGCACACAATGCTAACGGTTATCTCGAGGCAGGTTTGGAAACCCCTCAAGAAATTGATTGGGAAAGCGCTGGGGGCAAGCCTCGAGTACCCAGCCGCCTTCCTGCGCATTTCACAGCAAGAGGGAGAACATCAGTACAAGCACATGATAACTGCGGGCGTTACTTAGTCTACATCGATATCGCCAATCTCTGCACGCTTCTTCTCCTGAGGTTCATTTTCCAGCGCTCCCAGGTGCTGCGAGAATCAACTATCGACGACTTTGTACTCGCGCTAGACGCGACGCACTACAAGTTTTCCTTGAAGGGTAGGAGGTTCAAAACTGCATCTTCGGGAGGGGCCTCGTCCGCACCGCCTGTGTCACACTTTATGCTATCGCCAGATCAGTCCATGATCACAAGACTCATAGCTACTGTGGGGCACATGTATTGCGGCATACAGCAGTGCTTGGACAATGAAGCAAGGAGGCTGTTCGTTAATTCAGAGGGTCAGAGCTGCACTCAGAAAGACATATCGTCGCGCTTCAAGAGAATTGGCATGCATTGGTTGGGCATCTCCAATTTGGACCCCATGTCTGTCGAACCTTTTGGTCCACGGATGCCCTTAACTCTGGACAAATCAGTGGCTCTAATTTAGACTTCAGTAGCTTTCTACAAGTTTCGAGCACCACTCTGAGAAACAGTTACATGGCGGCAGCAGCGAATACCGCCGCGCACACCGTGGGTAACGAATTGTTGGGGGCGGTAGTGAACTCCGCTTGCACGGGAGAAACGACAGAGAAGGGCGCTCGGCCGTACGGGAAGAAACTGAGCGCTAGGAGGCTGGAGTTCGCGGGAGACATTCGAGCCTCTCTCGCAAAGTTTAGCGGCAATGGTAGACTGCTGTTCCGTGCTTTTTTGCAGAAGAGGAATGCTTCTCAGCTTGTAGAGGGAGAGAAATGGTTCCGAAGGGAGAACACGTTTTTCAGTCAGAGCGATGAACGGCTGTTTCAACGGTTTGTGGACAAGGCGAACGCTTAATTATATTTATGGAACTTGTCAGTGTAGAAAAGCCCCGCCCCGCCATTTGGGGCGAGTGTCAAAAAAAAATCTGTCACAGCAACACTTGGATGGGTGGCAGGGAGGAGTCATTACTGCTGGTTCGACCGTGCACAAGGCAGAAATGGGGGTTGTGCAGCTTTTGATACACAGCTGTTCCTCACACATTTATTTTCAGTCATATTTTTATCCGACAGGAGGATCTCAAAAGCTTCACGAACGTAAAGCACGCGTAGAGCACTTGTACCGTTCGCGCATGAGTATCATAAGACCAGTTTCACAGATGTTGTAAAGTTGAATGTAGTTTGTGAGAGCCAGAATCCGAAATCAGACGGCCTCGGTTTGAGACGCCAGCTATCAAGTTGATCTATATTGCAAACGACTGTGGGACAAAACCGCCGAGCCCATGGCCAACAACACGGCCGAGCCGCGAGAAGACGCACGACAGAACGAGACCTTGTCGGAACCGATGGCTGGCAACAGCACGGCCGAGCCGCGTAGGAGCGCCCCAGAACGAAAAACTTGCTCGAATTGATGGCCGGCAACAACAGAACCAGACCTTGCTCGAACCGATGGCCGGCAACAACACGGCCGAGCCGCGAGGACGCGCCACAGAACGAGACCTTGCTCGAACCGACGGCCGACACCACGGCCGAGCCGCGAAGAAGCGCCGCAGAACGAAAACTTGCTCGAACTGATGGCCGGCAACAACAGAACGAGACCTTGCTCGAACCGATGGCCAGCAACAACGGCCGAGCCGCGAACACGCGCCACAGAACGACAACTTGCCGGAACCGATGGCCGACACCACGGCCGTCGCGAACACGCGCCACAGAACGACAACTTGCCGGAACCGATGGCCGACACCACGGCTGAGCCGATCAGCGACAGCACCAGCGGCGGCTTTTCCCTACCCATACGGTACGCTACAATGTATGTCTATATCTCATAGTAGAGGGTAGGGTGTCTGGTCACATCATCAGAAGACTGGTTTTAGTATCAAGAGACCAGTTTCACAGAGTTGAATTAGTTTGTGAGAGCCAGAATCCGAAATCAGACTGCCTGGTCATGAGACGTCAGCTATCAACTTGATCTATCTTGCAAATGAATGCGGGACAAACCGGCCGAGCCGATGGCCAACAACACGGCCGAGCCGCGAGAAGACGCGCGACAGAACGAGACTTTGCCGGAACCGATGGCCGGCAACAGCACGGCGGAGCCGCGAAGAAGCGCCGCAGAACGAAAACTTGCTCGAATTGATGGCCGGCAACAACAGAACCAGACCTTGCTCGAACCGATGGCCGGCAACAACACGGCCGAGCCGCGAGGACGCGCCACAGAACGAGACCTTGCTCGAACCGACGGCCGACACCACGGCCGAGCCGCGAAGAAGCGCCGCAGAACGAAAACTTGCTCGAACTGATGGCCGGCAACAACAGAACGAGACCTTGCTCGAACCGATGGCCAGCAACAACGGCCGAGCCGCGAACACGCGCCACAGAACGACAACTTGCCGGAACCGATGGCCGACACCACGGCCGTCGCGAACACGCGCCACAGAACGACAACTTGCCGGAACCGATGGCCGACACCACGGCTGAGCCGATCAGCGACAGCACCAGCGGCGGCTTTTCCCTACCCATACGGTACGCTACAATGTATGTCTATATCTCATAGTAGAGGGTAGGGTGTCTGGTCACATCATCAGAAGACTGGTTTTAGTATCAAGAGACCAGTTTCACAGAGTTGAATTAGTTTGTGAGAGCCAGAATCCGAAATCAGACTGCCTGGTCATGAGACGTCAGCTATCAACTTGATCTATCTTGCAAATGAATGCGGGACAAACCGGCCGAGCCGATGGCCAACAACACAGCCGAGCCGCGAGAAGACGCGCGACAGAACGAGACTTTGCCGGAACCGATGGCCGGCAACAGCACGGCGGAGCCGCGAAGAAGCGCCGCAGAACGAAAACTTGCTCGAACTGATGGCCGGCAACAACAGAACCAGACCTTGCTCGAACCGATGGCCGGCAACAACACGGCCGAGCTGCAAGGACGCGCCACAGAACGACAACTTGCCACAACGAATGGCCGACAACACGGCCGATGCGCGAGAAGACGCGCGACAGAACGAGAACTTGCGCGAGAAGACGCGCGACAGAACGAGAACTTGCTCGAACCGATGGCCGACAACGACACGGCCGAGCCGCAAAGGCGCGCCATAAAATTTCTCGAACCGATGGCTGGCAACAAAACGGCCGAGCCGGGAAGACGCGCCACAGAACGACAATTTGCCGCAACGGATGGCCGACAACGAAAAGACCGCGACAGAACGAAATGCCGGAACCGATGGCCGACACCACGGCCGAGCCGATCAGCGACAGCACCAGCGGCGGCTTTTCTCTATCCATGTGGTACGCTACAATGTAAGTCTATATCTCACGGTAGAGGGTAGGGTGTCTGGTCACATCATCAGAAGACTGGTTTTAGTATCAAGCGACCAGTTTCACATTGTAAAGTGGAATGTTGAAGAAGAGGCGGCCACGAACAACCCGCGGACCGCCGCCGACCTCTTGCGTGGGGTCCGCGAGCAGGTCGCGGACATCGACCCCGCTGCCGAGGTACACATGCCTGACAATCATAACATGTACGTAGAACTCCAACGTAGATATGCCACTTCGTAGAATCGTGCGGGCCTAGTCACGACATGCTTCCGCCCACATTTTTCGTGCCACTCTCACATCGTAAGAAAAGACCATGTGACAATGTTTAAAAAGACTAACGTACGCGAATTCTTGTCTACAACTCACCTTATCGATTGCACAACGTTCCCATAACCACTACGATCAGATACTTTCGTGTGATTTATTGGAACCTCTTCGCCCGGTTCTGCTCCAATGTTGCAGGCAATTAATACCTTGCTTCACCGCGTCATGTGGCGCTACACCAAGGCCCACATGCAGTCGACACGCGAGGACCTGTCCGAGGGGCAATTGGTCGGCGAGGCCCGGCTTCACGAGGACTTCCTCGCGCAGGTGACTCATTGTTCACGTCTGGTCTGCCGTCTCAAACTTCGGCGCTTGTGCCGGGGCATCCTTAAGGAACTACGGTATGCCACCCCACTCACGTTGTAAGAGAAAGCTCCAGCGGGCAGCAGGTCAATGTAGAGACATGAACATCTAACTGAACTCCTCAGCATGTACGAGCATGTACGAAAGCTCCGATTGCATCGCAGGTAGTATCCGTAGGAAGCAGCAGCACGGTACACGCACTGCAAGGTTACATGTTTCCAGATGCATGCACTCGTCAGTAGCACCGCACCGTTCGGCAGCACAACTTGACTCCGTCTGTCACCACGCCGCAAAAATGACTACGATGTTGCGCAGACGACCTATACCCCCCTGCCTGCTCGCGTCATGTTACACACCAGGTGGTCACGCCGGCGCTGCTGCACGCGGCGAACGACATCGCTGCCCTCCCGGTGGCGGAGATCGGCTCACTCGAGAGCGTCGTGTGCAAGTGCACGAGGAAAGCGAGGGCGTGGGGGAGGCTTTCCAACGGCGGGTACAGCTCCACAAACGCGAAGGCATTCCAGGAAGGGTGAGTCTTGTCGAACCGACCTTTCTTCAACCCCAACTGATGTTGGATTGTATATGTCTCCGTCAGCTAATTGCCGGGCGGATTTTCTCCAATTCTGACTTGTGGTGAAATGAGGTTCATTTTGTTGAGCATGAAGCCAAGAACCGCGTACCCGTCTATTTTTTTTCTGGCCGACGTTGCCAAATCGGGGTGTGGGATTCTCCATCGAGAGTCGCACGGTAGTTCTTGATTTTCTCGCAATATGTAGGCGGGAGCCGTCAACAACTTTGTGCACGTCGAGAGTCAGCGGTCCTGCTGGTTTGGTTTGAAGGAGCGGGTAACATGTGCGTGACATGAAGCATGCTGTGAGTGCCCCCCCCCCCTGCTGTTCCTGGGCACCGTTGTTTGGCCTCTTCACCCCCACCTCCACCCTCACCCTCCCACCCCGTGGTATCCGCAGGAAACTTCACGACAGTGTTGCCAAAAGTCTTGAATACCGACTGCCGTGTCATCTTGACCGACGTTTGCGAACTTTCGATATCGTCAGCTAGCAAGCTTCTCCAAGCCCTGTTTTTTCGTCACGTGTTTGTCGTGTTACGAAGTGTTGTTTGGTGCAAATGCTGCATTTCTGCAAGTTTCGGAATTCCCCGATAGATTCACTCCGGGAGTAGTTTTCTCTTTTGTTTTATTATCCCCCCACCTCCGAGAGAGAAGAACAGAATCTGAGGAAAGAATCCAAGGATAAGGAGGGTCTAGAAG